TGATCTGGCAGGTACTACTGGTTGAACGTTGCGTCAGCAGTTTTTCCAGCAGTGCCACCATTTCACTCATCTTTGACTCTAACTTTGTCACTTTTTCCTTTAGCTCATCATCATTGGCAGCACTGGGGGTACGGACTGTGTTGGCATATGACCGAAGTATTGGGGGAGGCTCATGCCTGTCATCATAGAGTTTTCGTGCAGCAGAGAAAGAGATCTCCTCCTCCACCTTGATCCGACAGATCTCTTTCTCCTTCATCCACCGATCACACACATGATCCTGGCAGGAGTGTTCCTTCCCGCAGTTAACACAGTGGGGAGCACAGCCACCCTCATGGGGTACCAGTCCACATCTCAGGCACACTTTGTTTTTTGTGCATCTCTCAGCTGTGTGGCCAAAAAGGCCACACTGATAGCACTGTAGAGGGTTAGGCACATGTCTGGTAATGTGGTATGTCACATAATCCAGTTTCATTTTAGAGGGGCACGTCGGCTTATCAAAAGTCAGGAGTACAGTCGCTGTAGGTACTACTTTACCATTGACCTTACGAGTGAATCTCTTGGCACCAGTGACGCCATGGTCACTCAACCAGCCGACAATCTCGTCCTCGCTCAGGTCAGTAGGCGGAACTATGGTCAAGCGTACCCATTTTCGGGAACGCATTTTCGTTCCCATGTTTGGGAACGATAAACCCAAATATGGGAACGCCATGTAGGCATTATTTAAAACAAGAAAAAGAACCGTTAAATGACGTCCAAAAAATATAAAACGATCGTGAACCGCCTGATATTTGTCTCAATATTGTTGGGAAAGAGTTTGATATTGTAAGGCCCATCGTAGTTTCAAATCGTTCCCCTATTTCTAAAGCAGTCCATCATCCGGGCCGCGAGCCCAAATTTGGGAACGCTCTCGTACACTGGCGCTGCAAGCGTTCCTTATTATGGGAACGGCGTACCCAAAATTGGGAACGATTTCACCGACGCCTTTCAGGGGCTCTTTTCATTAACAAGCATCACGTCCAACGCCGCAAATTATTGTTAACGCAACAATCATCAGATGACCTTTCCGGCAAGACCGTCGCATGTTTCGCCCGGTCTTCTGCGCTTTTATTCCCGTCGATCTCGCAGCGGGCACGCCCCCCTCTGCAGGATACGTAATTCACAACGCTCAGCGATGTTCAACAAGGTCTTCCATACCTATATCCACCGTCCGCGCCGAGGGTGGAGACATGTCAAGCATCTGTCTGTTTATCACCGATAGTTGACGAGCACAAGGAAGTATCCAAAAATGGGAACGCTGAATATGTTACACCCTCAAAACACCTAGTCCCAATGAAAATCTAGTTTTTTCCTTTCTTGATGAGTGTAAGTGGCAAAAGGCCTGGTAGGATGGGCACGAGGAATGATCGAAATCAGCATAAAAACTATAAATAAGCCACACAGAGCGACCTATATAAGAGAAATTCCCCCAAAACGATCACGCTTAGAAACACGGAAGACAAAAACCACGCTCATGACGCTCCTTATAAAACAACTCTAAACAGCTAGCATCCAAAAAAAATATATCTTTCTGGGATGATAAAATACAGCTGAATAATTTTAAACCACTGAAACTGAGTTTACAACAGTAGTTCGGTAAAATCACTGACGTTCCATGCGGTCGTGCGCCCCGACACCAAATGTCACCAATATTACCCCCGGACTGTCCGCGTGTTCGCTTGCATATGTCAGCATCTGGTGTCGCTAGTATGAAACTTCATAACCAGGCGAAAATTATTATACTTGACCTCAAAATGTAAAAAACGCTTCATTTTCCTTAAAATTGCAAGTTAAATGTAGTATAACCCATGTTTTCACCATTCCGTCATTTCAAAAAATCATTAAAAATATCATTCGACGGTCAATTTCCTTGTGCAACGGTCAGATTAAAGATAATTTTATAGAGACTTAGTAGATACTTAAATTAGCGTGCACTTTTTTGAGACGTGATGCACTAATGAGTTTTAGTGGGCGAACGGCCGAAAAATTACCTTCCGTTCCCATAAATGGGAACGCCCGTTCCCATATTTGGGAACTCCGTTCCCAAAAATGGGAACGTTCCTATATTTGGGTACTCATGACCATAGTTCCACCTACTGAGGTCCTCCAGGTCATAGGCACGGATTGTGCCTCGGGAAGAGTTGAGCCTCCTGTCCTTTACTACCTCACAAGTCTCACCAGCAAGTTGTTGAGTTTTCAGAAGTTTGTCTGTTTGGGTCTCATTCTTTGTTTTGACCAGAAGGGAACCATCGCTCAGAAAGTTCGCTTTCTCCAGTTTGTCACTGATTCCCAGGACTCCACGGATCCCCATCTGCACCCATGGCCAGCCTCGAGATTTAAGGGTTTTGTCAGACACTAGGCTTATCCTCAAGTACGAGCCCTGACTAGTCTCATCTCTGTCAAAGAACGTCTCATCAGACCTCACTCGTTTTCCGGGCCGTAAATCCGGCCCAGGCCCCATCCTGGAGCATAACCTCCTCTACGAAAGCGATAAAAGCTTGACACCAAATCAGTAATATCAAAGGATACTCGGAAAATAACCAAGTGGAAAGTACAAAAACAGCAAAAAACAAAATGTCTTCCACTGCCACGTGGCACGAGGCGAATATTCTTGCACGTCTGTACCTCGCCAGATCTGAAACAAGAATGTTCACACGCGTTGGTGGCGTTGCACTCCGCCAGATACGTCTAAGCTGCGTAGGAAATGAAACGACCTTTGCTAGCGTCACAATAAGTTTCTAGTACTAAATTATAGGGATGTTTTTTTAAGGGTGGTAATTTTCTCAGCACTAAAAACCGGTCATTTTGTGGTATTTTCGGCAAAACTAGGCATTTCCAGTTAATTTGAGGTATAACAGGGTCATTTAGCACCTAACCAGTTTTAACACCTATTTAAGAGACTTTAGCACTGCTTTCAGTCTAAATCGCAGTACTTTTAGTTTGAATAGCACCTAATGGTAGTCATTTCGCACTATTTTTGGTAGATGTTTAGGCATCCCTACTAAATCTAGAAGGATTTTAGTATATTATGGAGAAATAAACTACAATACTAGTCTGTACTAGCTACAGATTGTTTGTTGCCAGGTCGATTAGCGTCTGTTTCGGCGCATGCGTTTTGAGAGGACCGATCTTGGGACCGATAGGACGCAAGGCGCGCTTCTTGGACGGATTTGGCAAGGAATTTGGATAGATTGATTTACGTGCAGCCTCAGCGTGTGCCGATCATCCTGCCTTTTCTTGTCCAAGAGTGAACTGAGCGAGGTTCTTAGTGTAAGTAGGTATAATATTATTTAGTGGCCGAGAGCCGTGAAGGATGCACGGCTAAATCGTGTTCCCGGCTGTGGCGGGAAGCGGTCGCGCGTCGGCGCGCGAGCAGAGCAGAGCAGAGCGCTGGGCAGAGGGTGTGTGTGTGGAGCGCGGCCGGAGGCGCGGCTGGTTGTGTGTTGTGTGTTCGGTCAAGCTGAGAACACAGGAATACAGAGACATGCAGTAAGACCGGAGGCTGTATCTGAAGACTGAGGTGTCTTACATTGGTGGCAGCGGTGGTTGTGGTTGCGAACCGGGTTGTGTTGGCCTAACACAGTCTTGGCCTGATAAATTGTTTGACACGGAACCGATCAGCTGCGAGCTGTTATATAAACATTTGATTTTTTTCACGCCCCAAGTGATACGCAGTGATTTACGACGACGTCGTGATTATCTCAAGAGGAAATGGCTCACTTCGCGCCACCCAGGTATGACGGTCGGGGGTCATTTCGTCGTTTCCGAGAGGATTTTAAGAGTTTTTGTGCCGTGCAGTCGTTCACGGGTGAGGCGACTCTGAACTGTTTGCCGCTGTGTCTGGATGGAGCGGCCCGAGAGGCGTTCGACACGTTTGAGCGTCCTGCTGACGGCTCAATCGACACTCTGCTAGACCGTCTCGGAGCCGTGTTCCCGGACGCTAGCGCCTTGGACTGCCACAGCGCGCTGCAGGCGCTCAAATTCGACCCGACGGCTCAGTCACTGGACACCTTCATTGTTCAGCTGCGCGGCCTGGTCACTGCCGTGTTTGGCGCCCACTCGCCTGATACGCATCTCTATCACTATTTCCTGGCCGCCTTGCCTCAGCGGTTGGCTCATGCAGTGGTGTCTTTGGGATCTGTGACCTTTGATGCAGCCGTAAAAAGTGTGCAAAACGTGCTGGCTGCTGATCGTCTGTCTCGGGGACCGGTGGGCCAGGGACAGCGCGTGTGTGCAGTGGGCGGCGATGGCGCCCGGTCCGAGCCCGCCCTCGACCAGGCGGAGGCTGGGCCGGCCGGATCGGACTCAGAGCGACCGGGGGTGCGTAAAGTGGGAGACGAGGCTGCAGAACCATCAGTGCTGGAGCAAATTCTGCGCCGCATTGCGCAGCTGGAGTTGCAGCTGGCTGCTACTAACCGGATGGGACAGATGGGGCATGACCGGGCCCGGGGCCGACAGGAGTGTGACGTGTCAATGCCCATATGTCTGTGTTGTGGGGAGACGGGTCACGTGAAACCAGATTGTCGTTTCCGTCTAGCCAGGTGCTTTGCCTGTGGGAAGGTGGGCCATGTTCAGCGCACGTGCCGCCTCTCGGGAAACGCCGGAGGGGAGGGCGCTCAGGGCGGCGCGCGCGCTCCCCGGTCACTCGGCCGCCGGGACCGAGAGTTTTGAATAACTGCGCTGCATCGGCGTCGGACATTACGGTCAAGGCAAAGGTTAGTGAGGTGCCAGCGCAGCTTGTTGTGGATACAGGAAGTGCTATAACAATAGTTCACAGGCGGATTTATGATCAGATTTCAGCGCGTCCCCAGCTACAACGTTGTGACGTCACCGCTAAAACTGCAACTCAACAGCCGTTGCGTCTGCTCGGTCGGTGTGCAGTGCATTTTGTTATCGATAATGTGTCATACCCGCTCTCTGTGTTTGTATCCGACGAAATCGGTCCCATCGACTGCCTCCTGGGCATGGATTTTTTCGCGCAGTATCCGTTTGTTCTTGACTTATCGACGAAGCAGCTGACACCTGCAAACCAGGTGAACCGTCAGCCGGTCGCCACGGTGTTGCCTGAGCGACCGACGACTCGTGTGTGCCGGGTGTCTGTACAGGAAACGTACGCTATACCCCCAAACTGTGAGGTTGTGATCCCCGGCCATGTCGATGATGCTGATTTTGAGGGAGAGGCTGTGTTCATTGCCGACGTCGCAGTCAGTGGGTTGACGTTCCTGGACGGACTGGTTGATGTGAAGCCGGGCGGCAGTGTTCCGGTCGTGGTGCGTAACGTGACGTCATCCTCGGTCTCGGTGTCTAAGGGCAAGGGCCTAGGATCAATGGAAGCCGACTTCTCCATTGAAGGGGAGGGGAATGATGCAGACAATGGGGTGTCAAATGGTCCCAGCTCTGGCGCGGGTTCCTTGGAGGATTTGGTCGATCTGTCTGATGTGTCGCTAACGAGTCAGCAGCGGGAAAAGTTCTTTGCTCTGTTGCGCCGGTACCCCTCGTTGTTCTCAGACCAGCTTGGTCACTGCTCACTAGTTGAGCACGTAATCGACACGGGCACTGCCAAGCCGGTGCGATCAGCTCCCAGACGAATTCCCCCACACCTGGAGACAGAAGTAAAGCAGCGCGTGCAGGATATGGTAGATCAGGGGGTGCTGGAGCCGTCTGATGGCACTTGGTCATCACCGGTAGTCCTGGTGAAGAAAAGAGACGGTTCTGTGCGAATTTGTGGGGATTTTCGAAAACTTAACCGCGTGTGCCAGGTGCCAGCCTTTCCAATCCCAAGGGTTGATGTCCTACTTGACAGTCTGGGAGGTAACTCTTTGTTTTCGGTGCTCGATCTAAAAAGCGGGTACAACCAGATGAGCATCCGAAAGGAGGATCGATCCAAAACGTCCATCACGTTGCCGTTTGGGCTTTGGCAATACACAACGTGCCCATATGGCCTCAGTGGTGCCCCGAGTTCGTTCGCCAGACTGTTGAGTCTTGTATTGGGTGATTTGGCTCCCACTGATGCAGTGAGCTACTTTGATGACATTTTGGTTTTCTCTGGCGATTTTGACACGCATCTTTCACGTCTTGAGAAGGTGTTCCGTCGTCTGTCGGCTGCGAATTTGACTCTCAACCTCTCAAAGTGCAAATTCTTTCAATCAGAGATCACTTACCTGGGTCACGTGGTGTCGTCTGATGGGGTCAGTCCCGATCCAGAAAAGGTAGACAAAGTAAAGGATTGGCCGGTGCCTATGAATGAGAAGGCATTGTCACAGTTCTTGGGATTGGCAACGTACTTTAAACGGTACATCAAAGATTTTGCTGCTATCGCGGCTCCGCTGCATCACCTCACCAGGAAGGACGTAGACTTCCATTGGGATGCGGAGGCTCAGATGGCTTTTGACTCGCTAAAGGCGGCGCTGTGCACGGCTCCGGTTCTGAAATACCCTGACTTTTCCCCGGGAGCGAGCGAATTCGTACTAGACGTGGATTGTTCAGGGTCAAAGATGGGCGCGGTTCTGCTGCAGAGGGATGGACAAGGTGAGCGGGCAGTGGCATTTGACAGTAAAAGCCTGTCTAAATCCCAGCGGCAATATTCAGTCACTAAAAAGGAGCTACTCGCAGCTGTGACGTTTGTGCAGCAGTTCCGACATTACCTTTTGGGTCGTAAGTTCACGCTCCGCACAGACCATGCCGCTCTGCAGTGGCTTGTGAATTTCAGAAACCCTGACGGGCTTCTGGCGCGGTGGCTGGAGATTTTGGGCGAGTTTCAGTTTGAGATTGTTCATCGGCCAGGTAGGCTACATGAGGCTCCGGATGCGCTCAGTCGGAGGCCGGACCCCACGCAGGAGGTGTCTACACAGACAGACACAATGGATTTTCAGTCGCCTCCCGTCGCAGCTCGCCACGTTCAGTCCATGTGGCCTTCTGATTTCATGTGTTCGGCGCAGAACTCAGACCCCGCCATGGCGGAGGTGAAGAGGCAGCTTGCTGGGAGCACACAGCGGCCCTCCCAGTCCTCCGTGTCAAAGGGCGCTCTGCCGTACTGGAGGCAGTGGTCACGTCTGCGTTTGATTGATAATGTTCTGTACAGAGTGTTCCGGGCTGGGCCGAGGGGGCACGACCAGCTGCAGCTGGTAGTCCCACCCCAGCTCGTGCCTGTGGTGCTGGGGTCGCTTCATGATGGTCCGTCGGGTGGGCACTTCAACGCTTCAAAGCTGGCGAAAGTCGCGCGACTCAGGTTTTGGTGGCCGCTCCTGGAGCGTACGGTGACTGAGTTTTGCGAACAGTGCCGCCGCTGTGCCTCGCGAAACTCTCCGACTCCCCGCCCATGTGCGAGTATGGGGCAGTTGTCTGCGTCCGAGCCGATGGAGCTGGTGTCCATGGACCTTGTGACCAACCTGCCGGAAACCGCTCGAGGCTACAAACACCTGCTAGTGATCACTGATCACTTCACACGCTGGGTTGAAGCGTATCCCCTCGCGGATGAAAAGGCTACTACGATTGCGAATGTTCTTGTAAATGAGTTTATTTCTCGTTTTGGCGTCATGAAACGTGTGCACTCGGACCAAGGTCGGAACTTTGTCGGTGCGGTGATGAAAGCTGTGAGCGAACTGCTCGGCATTCAGCAGTCTCAGACATCCAGTTATCACCCTATGGGCAACGGGATGACTGAGCGAGCCAATCGCACCATTTTGAACATGCTGGCTAAGTTTGTTGAGCAGCACACGGAGTGGGATAAGCATCTTCCGATGCTCATGCTCGCCTACCGGAGTCAGGTGCACGACAGCACGGGATACTCTCCGTTCGCCTTGATGTTTGGGCGAGAGCCCCGCCTGCCGGCGGAAGCCTCGCTGGGTGATCGGCCGGTTGTGGATCGGGCCCCAACCTTCCCCCAGTACATAGACGATTTGAGAGAGACACTCCGACTTACTTTTAAGGATGTGGTTAAGCGCGATCAGCTGTCCCATGACCGCAACAAAGCTTTGTATGAGCGCAGAATGAACGAGTGGTCGTATCGCCCGGGTGACAAAGTGTTCTTGTTTCGCAATGTACCGAAGCGCGGTGAATATCATAAGTTTGTGAGGCCTTGGCGTGCGGCTGAGATCATAGAACAATGTGGACCAGTGAACTATCGAGTGCGCGAGGAGGGAAAGCGGCGCAGTCTGGTGGTGCACCACAACCGCTTGAAGCCGGACAACACAGTGGAGCGCCCGCCGGCTGTGAGTGAGGGGCACAGGACCGCGACAAGAGCGCATGGGTTATCTCTCTGGCGAGATGTGCCGGGAACGCCCATTGCCCGGCCCCATAGTGTGCCTGGTATGGGTGGGGCGCCAATTGTATTTCCGCCCCAAGGTGTCACAGCTGGCCGCTATGTACCGCAACCTGTTGTTTTGCCGCACGTGCCGATGCCGCGTCTGCCCGAGATGCGACCTGACTGTGTGCCGCCACCTGACCCTGTACCGCTCCATGACGCTGTGCCGCACCGGCCGGAGGTACCACATGTTCCGCCGCCGTCCCCGCCGCCGCCGTTCGATGCCGAGCCGCCGCGGGATGTGGATCAGCGGCCGCGAACTGTCACCCGTTTCGGGCGTGAGGTACGCCCCCCGAAACGGTTCGACCCTGCTCACTGGTCTTTTGATTAAGCGTTTGTTGTGACTGTCGTTGGCATATTGTTCAATAGGAGGGGAGGAGTGTAAGTAGGTATAATATTATTTAGTGGCCGAGAGCCGTGAAGGATGCACGGCTAAATCGTGTTCCCGGCTGTGGCGGGAAGCGGTCGCGCGTCGGCGCGCGAGCAGAGCAGAGCAGAGCGCTGGGCAGAGGGTGTGTGTGTGGAGCGCGGCCGGAGGCGCGGCTGGTTGTGTGTTGTGTGTTCGGTCAAGCTGAGAACACAGGAATACAGAGACATGCAGTAAGACCGGAGGCTGTATCTGAAGACTGAGGTGTCTTACATTAGCATGGAAATTGGAGAGTGATGACGATTTCCGCGAGGATGTTGGGTCCTACCGTCCGCCCAAGCGTACCTACTGGTCCGCCAGTGCTGCTGTCTTTATTCTGTCAGGTTATCTAACGGCGCTATGGGCATGTAGGTACAGCATTGCAGTAGCAAATGCTTAATCTAAATTTTGTGCGGTGGCATTTTCCCATGCTTAGTAGGAAGCGCTCGACGTCCCTTCCGTACGTGTCGTGGAAGGGACGTGTCTGTCATTGACGCACATCAACTAGATGGATCTTGATTGTAGCATTTCGCAGCAGCGTTTCATCGTTCAGCGGCCTAACGCCTAGCCAGCTCTCATTTCGAGGGGGTGGTACTTTGCTGCTGAGGAGCATGAGTGGTCACGCTGCATCGTGAGCCAGATGAAGCCGGTGGGCAGACCGTGTACCGTACATTTGCGTACATGATTTTGTCCCACGAACTTAACCCTCGCCCGCACATGGGGGGGGGGGGGTGGTTGCCACCCCCCAGGTAGTCTTTCTGCTCTGCACTCAACATTTTTAGAGATAGAAGGCTGATTTTTCGTATAGCTGCTCCTCTATCCTTTCTTGATGTCCACTGAAAATTTGAAGTTTCTGTGATTTTTGGTTTCGGAGATATGACCTTGTTTTCAGGTCATGTCATGGCCCAAATGGCCAATTCTCAACATCTTGCGCTGGCTATGGGCCTTGTGAGCTTTTGACACCTTGATTTCGGCCTTTTTTGCCAGTCTTACCTCCCAACTATCATGGAACATGTTGTTCGACGATGTACAGATGTCAAGGTCAAGGTCAAGGTCAACCTAGGTCATCTAAGATAATTGCGTTTTAGGTAAGCGGAAATTACTTTTTGTCAAGTTTTTTTACTACATTTTTGGTAAAAGCTTCTCTGATTATGATATCATGTAATATGGACACAAAAACAATCGGTGCATACATAAGTATACACACAGACACACACAGACATACAAACACATATTATTGACCTTGACCTAACTTGACCTGACATGACCTCAGCAGCAAAAATCTGGTCGGGTAGTGTGACAAAGAGGTTCTAGCTGGCTTGGCACCAGAAAACAGCATCGTCATCGGTAGGTATGGTAAGCAGCGCACTTGATATCCAACGTTGACCCAAAATAGCAACATTTTTTAGTTTGACCTGACCTGGAAGGTCAACGACTGACCTGAGAAGGTAAAACTGGGTATCATTGGATTCGTCTCTTCCCAAAGAATCTTTTTGGTCTTTACCGCTAAGCTCTATCTCCAACAGGAACGAAATGGCACGGGGGGGTGGCAACCACCCCCCCCCCCCATGTGCGTTCTAGGATGGGAAAATGGCATGTGCGGGCGAGGGTTAAGCGATGCGCATTTTTGTCCACAAATTTACCTAATATATACCCAGCATGCCTATTAGTCGTTAGGGGACAGCACCGGGCGTGGTGTATTGCGTAGAGGGCAGCCCCTATGCAACAAAACTTGCTCCAATTCCGTTTTCATCGTGGAAGTAATACGCTGAATGGAGGATCATACTTTGATGTCCAACTTACGTACAACATAAAAAATAAATACCTCAAAGCTCAAGAATACTGTGATCATAGCAGTAGCTCGTGCTCGGCAGTGAAATCATGAATAGTGCTCATATACCGGATTTAGTGCAAAATGAGCTACCACACACCCATTTATTATGCCAGATCTGGCATCGCCTCTATACTAACTAAAATAGTGCGGAATGACCGGATATACCTGTGTTTGACAGGAATTGCCTGCGAAAAGACGATAGTGCAAACTGAACTTATGATAGTGCAAAATAACTGAAATTTAGGTACTGAAAAAATTATCCCCCTTTTTTTAAGTGAGGCATTCCATTGTATTTCGAGTATTTCTAACAAAAATTTGTAAAAGATAAAGAAAAACACAAAAACACTATAACAACACTAAGGTTACAAAAACATCTTCAGCTCTTGACAAAGACTTATTTTTTCGATAACAGCAGTCTTGCAGGGCTAAACGGTCGATGTCGGCCTTTGCCTACATGCAGTAGGTAGCCAGCAAGGCCATCCAGGGTTACTTTTACAGGAAAAGTTGAGAGGGGGAATAAAATTCGGGGAACCGTCATCACCCCCGTCCCCCGCCGGTTTCTACGCCGACGCCTGTACCCACTACCCAACCTGTGCCGATATGCCAGTGAGTGCAGTGGCGGATCCAAGGGGGGGGGACAAATGGGTCATGACCACCCCCCCCCCCTTGGGGCCCGGGGACACCAAAGGTCTGTCAGGGGCACCACAGGCCTGTCAGGAGCACCACCGGCCTCGCAGGGGCACCTTGGGCCTGTCAGGGGCACCACGAGCCTGTCGGGGACACTTTAGAATTTTGATATCGATGACCTAAGGTCAGGTCAATTTTGCGACCTCCCATTTTATTCACACGCAAAAAAACGCGACAGGGTGGTAATTCATATGCCCCCCCCCCCCACTGGGGCGAAGATTAAAATCTTTTTTGAAACAGGTCCTGCACTTTTTCCGTTTTACCCCACCAGACCACACTGGGGTAAAACGGGGGATGACGTGGGGTGATACGGGCTTCGATGACTTTCACTGAGCTATACTATCTTTAATTTTCCTCGGTTTCCGTCTAAGCTACTGAAAATGGAAGAGTTTATCTCGGCAAAAATATGTATATTAGGTACATACACGGTACCTGTGCAGGTACTTATAATGAAGAAACATTATGACAACGTTTGAAACGTTTAACACAACCACTCCTCTTTGGAAAGAGCACATTTGAACATGCTTTTATGGAACGTGAGTTGGCCAATAAAGGCAGCTTGTTTTAACTAAAAAAGCACTTCTGGGCACGTACGTACAGTCACCAGCACTTGCTACTAATCACCTCGTTTTTGCTCAGTACCTAGTTTGAAGACCGATCAATTCTCAGTCGAGCAAGATACGTCAAACGATCGGTTTGGTCCTCCGATTTTCGAATATCTAACTTGTTTTTTGTATGTTCGAAGCATATTGGGATGAGGAGCCAAAAAACGTCTTTTCTGCCCTAAAGTTGCCCCAAGAAGTCGTAGAACCTAGCCCCGCCTCTGATCCACAGACCACTAGTGCCATCTCTTGTCAGCCGAACAAACCGCAGAAGTAAATAATGTCACGTGACCTTTGCACACGCTACAATTACTACGCAGTTGTAGTGGGGGAAGCGGGGCGGAGGCGTGGAGAGGGACGCGATCGGTCCGGTCGGCTGGGGTCAGGTCGCCGAAGTCGGAGGTCATGGGCGTAGGAACGGCTGGAACATTGTGGGTGCATGGGTGCAGAAATCCAGCCATGGCCGGTGAAGCGGGAAGGGAGGGGGGGGGGGGTAGAGAGCGACATCCGAGCGAAGGCTCGTTACGAGCTTTGAGGGTGTACCATGTCGAAAAGGTACCGACCGATAAGTGCATTTCCATAAGTGATAAGTTGCCCTCTCGTCACGGGCAACACCCTCGTTTTTTCCGCGAAGCTCTTCATTATAGCTCGATCAGGGGCCGAACGGCAGGGGGGTCCGACCGACCCCCCTCCCCCTCCCCCTACCCCTACACATTAGAAGCTGGAAAACGCTGCACACACGCGAGGGCTAATATTGTCAATATTGACTACCGCAAAAAGTAAAAGCGGCCAACTTAGCCATTTTCGAAGATATCGGGCTAAAATTTTGACAGTGGGTCATCGGTTCGGTATGTGTTCAATCACATGCTCCATTTCCCTTTTTTAGCACAAATGTAAGTTTTGAAGACCATCACAGTAGCAAATGCTTCGAAAGATGGATAGTAGGCAACATATCCTGAATTTGCCGTGCAGCATGGGAAGTAGTGTTGATGAAAAAAGGGGTTTTTGGTTCAGATTATTGTGGGTGCAGAATACATTGTCTGCACCCACTGGATAAATATTGTGGGTGCAGCTGCACCCTTGCACCCATGGTTCCTACGCTTATGTCGGAGGTCATCCGCCGGAGGGTGTTTGGGCGGTTGAGCCGTGTGGGCTGGGGCTTGCGGATTGGGGAGCGCCTGGACCTGTCTGGAAACAAGTTCTACAACGCTGTGGCAGTCGAGAATATTGTGAGGAAAGAGAGAGAGAGAGAGAGAGAGAGAGAGAGAGAGAGAGAGAGAGAGAGAGAGAGAGAGAGAGAGAGAGAGAGAGAAAGAGAGAGAGAGAGAGGGAGAGAGAGGAGAGAAGTGGAAGAGAAAGAGAGAGAGAGAGGGAGAGAGAGGGAGAGGGAGAGAGAGGGAGAGGGAAAGAGAGAGGGAGAGAGAGGGAGAGCGAGAGAAAGAGAGAGAGAGAGAGGAGAGAGAGAGGGAGAGAGAGAGAGAGAGAGAGGGGAGAGAGGGAAAGAGAGAGGGAGAGAGAGGAAGAGCGAGAGAAAGAGAGAGAGAGAGGAGAGAGAGTGGAAGAGAAAGAGGGAGATGGAGAGAGAGGGAGAGAGAGGGGGAGAGAGGGAGAGAGATGGAGAGGGAGAGAGAGGGAAAGGGAGAGAGATGGGAGAGAGGGAGAGAGAGGGGAGAGAGGGAGAGAGAGAGAGATAGAGAGAGAGAGAGAGAGAGAGAGAGAGAGAGAGAGAGAGAGAGAGAGAGAGAGAGAGAGAGAGAGAGAGAGAGAGAGAGAGAGAGAGAGAGAGATAGAGAAGAAAGACTGGAGGGAAGGGAGGAGAGAAAAGAGAGACAGAAAAGGAAAACCAGGAAGGGTAAAATGAAAGAGAGGGTCATGAGTAAATCAGTAAGAGGGAGCGAGAGAGAAAATATTTAGTTGTGTCAGCTTGTTTCGTATGTAAAATGGAAACAAGTTCTACAACGCTGTGGCAGTCGAGAATATTGTGAGGAAAGAGAGAGAGAGAGAGAGAGAGAGAGAGAGAGAGAGAGAGAGAGAGAGAGAGAGAGAGAGAGAGAGAGAGAGAGAGAGAGAGAGAGAGAGAGAGTGGAAGAGAAAGAGAGAGAGGGAAAGAGAGGGAG